GGGTTTCACCATGTTGACCAGGACGGTCTCGATCTCTTGACCTCGTGATCCACCCGCCTCGGCCTCCCAAAGTGCTGGGATTACAGGCTTGAGCCACCGCGCCCGGCCTTTCATAGAATTTTAAAGCACTGACAGAGCTGGAAGAAATCTGAGAAGCCCATTCACTTATGTTTCTACTCATTCCTCAAATATTTGTTGAGCATCTACTATGCCAGGTCATGAGCTGCAGGGAACAGAACCAAAGGGATCCCTGATCATGGAGCTAACAGCCAGGTGGCAGTAGATACCTGGAAGACAGGTCTGCAGGGGTGATGGGTTATAAGTGACCACAGGGGGAGGTGACTTACCGCCGCCAGGTGGCTGCTGTGTGATGGGGGTAGGGAGCCTCCCTAAGAGGTGGGACATGGGAGCTTGACAAGAGCAAGTCAGCTGTGCAGAGATGGCAACTGCAATACAAGGAGAGGCAAGAACTGGTGCTGGCAGAGAACCTGGCACCTGCCAGGGAAAGCAAGGAGCCAGTGAGCAATGGAGAGGGGACTACGGGAGCAGCAAGGTGGTTGCTGTGATAACAGCCTGGGTAGGCAGTGGAAGTGATGGCCAGCCCACTACCCCCACCTCTTACTGCAGGGAACATGAGCTCAGAGAGGATGGAGAGGCGCTACTGGGCAACCACCCTGCATCAGGAGCTTTCTATGCCACATCTCAAAGCCTCACAGCCCACTGCATAGGAGTCATTGTGCCCATTTTACAGATGAGGCCAATGAACAGTGAGGCCGCCTGCCTAAGGGCATAGAGCCACAGGTGGGCAGTAGGGTGGAGCCCAGGCTGATGAGGTTCCCCAACACTTCAAAGTCGCCCCCGTAGCGAGATGACGACTGCAGAGCCAGGCTGCCTCCAACCTTGGCTCTGGCACCGAGAAGACCTGTGACCGGCCCGAGGACCTTCTCCCCTTTGGTGCCTCAGCTTTCCAATCTGTAAAATGGGAATAATGATTGTACCTACTTCAAATAGGTGGGGATGAAATGAACTAATTTATGTTAAGTACTTAGAACAGTGCCTGACCCCCAGCAAGCACTTGATGGTAGATATTTATGTTTATAGTTCCACTGGCATCGATACTTACAGAAAGGCAAAGCTGAGATGACAGGTCGCCAGCCTCCCAGGGTGGAGTCCACCTCACTCACAGCAGGTTCAGGTGCATCCATTGAAAGTTTACCAGGGCCAGGCGTGGTGGCTCACACCTATAATCTCAGCACTTTGGGAGGCCAAGGCGGGCAGATCACTTGAGGTCAGGAGTTTGAGACCAGCCTGGCCAACTTGGCAAAACCCCATCTCTACCAAAAATACAAAAATTAACAGGGTGAGGTGGTGACACCTGTGATCCCAACTACTCAGGAGGCTGAGACAGGAGAATCACCGGAACCCGGGAGGCGGAGGTTGCATTGAGCCAAGATCACACCACTGCACTCCAACCTGGGTAGCAGAGTGAGACTCTGTCTCAAGAAAAAGGTTGCTGGGAGGAGAGGAAGCTTACCTTGGGGCCCTGCACACTCCTTGCTGGGGATGGGGCTGGCTGGGGGAGCCACAGACCCCTGTAGGAGATCTCCAGGCTCCTTCTAATGCCTGCCCCAGGACAGGCTCCCATTCTGGAGTCTCTCTGTCCCCGTTTCATGGGGGCCGACTCTCAGCTACCCAGCTCAAGGATCAGTGACCACCCATGGCCCTCAAACATCCCATCCACATGCACCCTGATATGGGCAGACAGGGCTCAGGCTGAATGTGAGGAGGCTGAGCAGCAGCTACGTGCCCAAGGGGCATGGCAGGGCCAAGACTAGGTGGTCTAACCTTGCCACCCCACACTACACGTAGTCCCTGCCTCTGGGGCCCAGATGGGTCACTTCAGCACAGGGCACAGGGAGTTTCATAACTTCCCAGGCAGGCACCCAAAGGGTTAAACTCAGGATCCCTCCTTCCTCCATCTCAATTCCGATCCTTGCTGACTCTGCTCCCCCTCCCTAGCCCCAGCTATTCTGGGACAATGGAGGCAGCAGATGGCCCGAGTCCTGTTCCCTCCGCCCGACCCTCAGGATCTTGGAACAACCCAAAAAGCTGCTGCCGCATCTAAATGCAGGCTCACCAGCAGCCTTCCTGGGTGGGTGGGGAGGACGGCGGCTGTGGATGGCGCCATTCCAGTCCCACCGGGCTGCAGGGCCGGGGCTGCCCTCACTCGAGGCATCCCATAAACTCAGCCCTGGGCCAGCCTAGAAAGAAACGGGGCTTTGGAGAAGCAGAAGCAGCTGGCTACACCCAACTCACTGTGTGACCACAGCACGTGGCAGTCCCTCTCTGGACCTCTCCTCCCTGGAAAACAAGGGGCTGGCTTCAGGTGCTCAGTGGTTCCAGACGTCCCCAACACAGATGTGGCCAGAACAAGGTTTCTGATTCTTCAAGGGTGGAGCCCCTGGCCCTGGATGCCTGGGTCAGGACCCTCTGGCCCTCGGGATCTCTTCTCCTCCTTCCCCATCCCAGAGCTCCACTGTGACCCCAACTCCCAGCATCACTGGGCAAGATATAACTTTCCCTCCATAACCCTCCCCTCCCCACCTATGTGCCACCATGCCTGAAATTTCAGATCACTTTCATTCATCTGTCCCCCTCCTTGGGATCCGAAATTCCAAGGGCACTTGCGTTTACTCAGTTCCTGCCCCTGGCTGTCAAACAGCCCTTTGGTGACATTATCTGATACCTGAGGCTAAGTCCTTCTGCACTGAGTCTCCATTCCACCTTCCCTGATTCTCTGACCTCCCCCACCCAAGCCCTGGGGGCAGAGAAAAGGAGGAACCACTCCACACCTCTCCATGCACACATGTGCCACACAGCCACAAAAACACACACACACCACATACACATCTTCATGCAGAATCCACTGAGCCCTTCCTTTCTCTGTGACAGGTCTTGGCATACATCCTATCACACCACCAAAAATGACCGCCATCTCCACTGTAATAAACAGATAAAGACCCTACCCCTGTCAGGAACGCTGTGGCTGCTCGTAACAGAAAACTGAACCAAAAGAGACTTAAACAAATAAGCATTTAATTTTCGTACAGAACCAGATGCAGGAGGAAATAGCTGTGGGTGATTGTCTGGGCCTTTCCTTCATGGTAGCAAGGTGGCTGCCCCAGGTCCAGCCATCACACCCACATTCACAGCAGGAAGATGGGGAGTGGGCTGCAAAACCTTCCCCAGAAATGTCTCTATTGGCTTTGCTTAGTTCCCTCTGGCCAGAGCTAGTCCCGTGGTAGCCCCTAACAGCAAGGGAGGCTGGGAAATGAGCAAAAGTATCATCACGATTGGCTGGAACCTATCATGCTCCTTCATCTGGGCCCGGGTATGCCGAGGCTCCAAACAAAATCTGAACAGGGGGCGGAGAGCAAGGAGCTTTGCGAGACTGGTCGGCAACAACGGCAGCCACTGAGGACCCTGGATTCTGCCATCCTTCTACCTGCATCCCTTCAGTGACTTGGGACCCAGTTGAGGGAGGCAAGAGTGGGCAGCTCAGTGCTTGAGCCCCAGAAGAATGCCTGAGAGACATGAGCCAGAGGCAAGAGCCAGGCCCCACCCAGAGGCCATGTCACTGCCTAAAGGGTTAGGACCCCTGAGCCCCAGCCCAGTTCTAGTGCCCCCTGCCTTTTTTGCAATTCAGCCTCCTGAAAGAGTCTACCCCCTGGAGCCTCTCTGGCCATCACCTGTTCCATCTGGTCCCCTGGGCCGTCTAACTCCCCTCCCAGGGGACTGGGATGCCTTCAGTGCCCATTGCCACCCAGATCCTGGGCTTGCCAACCACCAGAAGGCCCTGCCAGGAACTGCCTATCACAAGACACTTGCCAGGGGCACTCATTGCCACCGTGGGAGCCAAGGAACAGCCAGAAGCCTCTGCCCAAACTTTGCCCAGCAGTTTAGGATTCATCGGGCAACCAGCTGTGGACACCAGGGTGTATCTGGGTAGAGGAGACAATGGAGGGAGCGGAACCTGCAGAGAGACCAGAAAAAGACAGGACAGTCACCCCTACTTCTGCTTTCAGCCCGCTCTCCTGGGGGGACGCATGCCACAGACAGTTTGCAACAGGGTTTCTCCACTAACGCTTAGGGCTACACAATTCTTTGTTGTGGCGCTGTCTGTACCTTGCAAAATATTTAACAGCATTCCTGGGCTCTACCCACAAGATTCCAGTAGCATCTCCCCGAATCATAATAATCAACAATGTCTCCAGACCTTGCCAGATGTCCCGCAGAAGACAAATCACCCCCACCTGAGAACCACTAGTTTGGAGAAACTTCAAAGTCTGCAGAAGCCATCAAGAGACCTCAGCTGAGGTCAAGCACCTGACCACACGCCTCTGAATCTGTCGGTGGCTCCAGATCCATTTGGCAGTAATCTATGGCTTCTAGAACCTTCAGGCTTACAGGAAATTTAACATCAATTCCCTTTTTTTTTTTTTTTTTTTTTTTTTGAGACGGAGTCTTGCCCTGTCACCCAGGTTGGAGTGCAGTGGCGCAATCTTGGCTATGTTTGGATGCCTAGACTTGGCCCTCGTTCCTCCCATCCAAGGTTCCAGCCCCCAGACCCACCTGGAGGGGTCCTCCTCCGGGGAGAAGGGGCCCTGTAGCTTAATGACGTTGAGTTTCCCCTCAAAGACACCGTAGCTGAGGGTGACCTGGGCAGGGAGATAAAGGAGTTAGTATTGGGGCGTCATGCTGGGGATCCCCACAAGGGGGCAGCATCCTGGCACAAGCGTTTTAAGCCGCAGGGAAAGCTGTGCGGGGCACGTGAAATTAATTCCCCACTGGCGGTGGGAGCTCCTTACCCCAAGGCACTTTACAGCTGGACGAGCACTACCATGCCCTTAATCCCATTTGCTCCCTCGACAGCTGGGCTCCCTGGGAAGTTAGAACAATTCCCCCATCTACAGATTTGGAAACTGAGGCTCAACAGGAAAAGGCACCTTTCCAGTAAGCTGTATGCCTGGACTAGAACGGAAGTTTTCTGAGACTCACTGGAGGGTCTCAGCACATCCCTCTTGACCCGGAGCCTCTACTCCACCAGGCAGTGAGGACGTGGATCACGATTTCAACTCACAGGCTGTAGAGGTTTAAGACTGTGGGCTTATGGACCACCCAGCTAGGGTTCCAGGGCCCCTCTGCCGCATATTAGCTGTGTGCCACGGTCAGTTTAGCTCACCGGGCCTCACTTTCCCCATCTGTAGAATGGGGATAATGTGAGTACTGACCTCATGTGAATATTGTTAGCAACCAGCGAGTTAAAGAAGGGTGGCCTGGCGCAGTGGCTCACACCTGTAATCCCAGCACTTTGGGAGGCTGAAGCGGGCAGATTGCTTGAGGTCAGGAGTTTGAGACCAACCCGGCCAACATGGTGAAACCCCGTCTCTACTAAAAATACAAAAATTCGCCGGGCATGGTGGTGCTGTGCCTGTAATCCCAGCTACTCGGGAGGCTGAGGCAGGAGAGTCACTTGAACCCGAGAGGTAGAGATTGCAGTGAGCCAAGATCACGCCACTGCACTCCAGCCTGGGCAACAAGAGTAAGATTCTGTCTCAAAAAAAAAAAAAAAGAGGAAGGGAAGGCCCCCAGTGTGGTGCATGGCATTGTGGGTGCTCAGGATCCCCTAACCATTAGGGTGCCCTGGTTCGGGCTGCCCCAAATCTGCCTCCCTTTCCTGGCTTCAGGCCCTGCCATCCTAATGAGACCAACCTCACACCCCAGTTCCAGGTCTGGCCAATCAGCGCGGACTCCAGGGGCCGGTAGAAGACGGGTCACGTGACCCAAGCCCACTCAATCGGACCAATGAGCACCAGCCCTGGGATCGGGAGGAGGGAGGCGCTCTCGTCCTTCCGGTGGCGGGGGAAACGCTGGGCTGCCATCTTGCCCGCGTGAAGGCTGAGCCTTCCTGAGGACGGGGCCAAGTTGGGGGACAGCGGATGAGAGAGGAGAGAGTCCTGGAGGCCGTCTGCACGCCTAGACCCCGCCAGGCCCTCAGCTTCTCAGGTATGAGAGCCAAGCATTTCCTCTTCGGGTTAAGCAGCCCATGTTGAGTTTCGCCGCACTGTTGGGCAGGAGGTCTCAGGGACACCCTCAGCCAGGACCGTCTACAGAGTCAGAGGCCAGCCTCTGCCAGGCAGAGCCAGCTGGACCTGTGTTCCCTGCCGGCTGGTGGGGTAAGGATCCCACTCCTCCCTCAGCCTAACATCCGTTCCCCCTGAAGCCATTTCCATCCAGTAACCTCAGGGTTGAGCCATGGACAGGGAAG